CTCCAAGGCCAGCTACCTTTGTTTGGCTCGGCCTGGACGGCCACGATCCCTGGCACGAGCGTGCACTGAGGTGCACACGGTGAGCGTTTTCTTATCCGGCATTTCGACATTTAAAACGACGCGAAGATCGGGACAAAATCGGATCGGGATAAATCGAAATCTCTGAGAATCGGCGGGTTTTGAGGATGTATTGGGCGCCGCGGCCGCTCCAGAGCGTTCTGGAACGCTCTGAGAGCGCTCCGGAACGCTTTGGAGCGATTTATCCCGATCCTAGCCCTGTTTTAACATTGGGCGGAAGGGGGGGGAGGGGGTGGGTGGGTGTGGTCTGGCTCTGGACCTCTGCTCGGGGCGACCGTTTGCAGCAATGCGTTCTATGGGGGGGGGAAGGCTCTGCCTGCTCGAAACAAGGGGCACCCAAAACGGGAGGTGTGTGTGTGTGTAGCTCTTGACCGGAAGGGGCCCGCTCCCGACGAGCAGACCAAAAGGTGTGTGTGTGTGTGTGTGTGTGCGTGCGTGCGTGCGTGCGTGCGTGCGTGCGTGCGTGTGTGTGTGTGTGTGTGTGTGTGTGTGCGACGGCCCGCGCCTATCGGCAACACAATGGATAAGAAAACGATCACACGACGATCTGTGCCTCCTCGGAGTCCCTCGGAGCACGTAGGCATTTTCACGGTTTCGCCCGCCCGCCTCCTGCTCCTCGACCCGCCTCTTCACCCTTGCTGCTGCTAGGGTGCTTTGCTGGGGTGCTTTCACGATGCGAGCATGTCTGGGTATCCCAATGCTGGGCCCGAGTTCGGCCAGGACCAGTCATAGTCGAATCGGGTAATCGGATCGAATCGCAATGTGCGTCGGATCGGCTGCTCCAGGATGCACAGCAACGTCATGCAAGCATCGGGCCCGATCGCCAGAATACTGGAATCGAATCGGATCGGGCGGGCGAAAACCAATATCGAATCGGATCGATGGATCGAAATCGATGCACACGGTACCGGGATCGGCGCGGGGGTTGGGGGTCTTTCTGTGGGTGCCAATGTGGGTTATATCTGGCCTAACCTAGCTTATACATGGGTCACGAGTGCCCCAGCCGGCTTAGGATGGTTCGATGGTTAAATCACTCCGCCGAGTGGTCGGAGTCCGTTCAGCCTGGATCGCCAACCCCGCTAAACCACTTGGGCCAGATATCACCCACCTCAGTGTCCATTGATAACCCCCCTATCCCCCCAGCAATCCCCGAGGAAGACCCGGGGGAGGAGGAGGGGGAGGCGGCGGAGGAGGAGGGGGAGGAGGAGGAGGAGGAGGAGGAGGAGAAGGAGGAGGAGGAGGGGGAGGAGGAGGAGGAGGAGGAGGAGGAGGAGGAGGAGGAGGAGGAGGAGGAGGAGGAGCGCCCATCCCGGCATCCCCGCCCCAGGTGGTCTTCGGGCCCTGCCTCGGGCCTCTCCCGTGGCCGCTCGGGGCGCGACTGGCACCCTGGGAGCACCCCCTCGGCGAGGCGCAGCTGCTGCAGCGCATCCCGAGGCCGGAGCGCCGCCGAGAATCGACGCAAGCCCACGAACACCTCGAACGCCTCGAAAACTCGAACGCCTCGAACACCTCGAACACCTCGAACACCTCGAACGCCTCGAAAACTCGAACGCCTCGAACACCTCGAACACCTCGAACACCTCGAACGCCTCGAAAACTCGAACGCCTCGAACACCTCGAACACCTCGAACACCTCGAACGCCTCGAAAACTCGAACGCCTCGAACACCTCGAACACCTCGAACACCTCGAACGCCTCGAAAACTCGAACGCCTCGAACACCTCGAACACTTCGAGGACCTCGAAGACCTCGAACACACCTCGAACACCTCGAGCACCCCGAAAACTTCGAGGACCTCGAAGACCTCGAACCTCCCCGGAGCCAGGCCCGACCGATGCCTCGCGCCACCCGCGGGCGCCGGCGGCGCCGCGCGCAGAGCGGCGGCCAGCAGCGGCCGCGCGCGGGGCGGCATCGGCATCGGCCGGGCCCGCGCGGGGGCGCCCGGCTGCATCGGGCGCGGCGGCCGGGCGCGGGCGGGGGCGGAGCCCCGGCTGCTGCCTCGGCTCGGGCCGGAAGCTCCTATGGCAAGTCACGGGAGCCTCCCATGCCATCTTGCTGGCTCTTTCGAATCGACGCTGGCCGACGCTGCATCGGCGCTACATCGGCGCTGTCCCATCGACTACCACACGCCAGCGCACGCTAACGCCCCCCAAGGGCGTACTCTCGAGGGCATACAAGGCTCCCACGAGTTGCTACCGAAAGAAGCGGCTCCTACTGGGATCGGCGCGCTTTTTTTATAGATCAACATAAAAATCGGGCCTGTCCCCCTGCAGGGGGATTTTCGACGAAAAATTAAGAATACTCAAATGCCCGAGCGACTGGGCTTCAAAATCCAGGGAGGCGGAGTCCAGCTGAGCACCGGAGGCGGAGTCCAGCTAGGCAGCTCGAACCGCCTCTGAGGCTCTGCCAGAGTTTTCAAACAGCCGAGAGCTAGCCGAGGACGCGAAGCTAGAGCAACCTCAAGGCGAATCGGAAGCTGGCGGAGTACGGATCGGGGCCAAAAGGGCGTCCCGAGGCCTCTTGTCGCTCCTGCTGCCAAGAGTGAAGCCTGGCTCTACGAGCGCCCTCGGAGGCAAGCGAGAGCAGTCGGGACGCAGCCCGAGCCGAGGGGAGCGGGAGCGGCCGAGGCCTCTTGTTGGCCTGCCCCCCTGCAGGGGGATTTCCAACGGAAAAAAAGATTATTCACTGCGTGGAGCTCCCCATATGTGCATCTACTCGCATGGACCTGTCCGCCGTGAATGTCTAGGCGCAAGAGTTTTCGAATATTGACGGGCTTCAGTTGTGACGGTCTGGACATCAATCTAACTGCGAATGAATTGGAGTGTGAATGAGCCTCAGTAGTACGAGCGCGTCTCTGTGCATGAGCCTGGGGCCTCCTGGGGCCTCCTGAAACCTACTGGGGCTTCCTGGGGTCTCCAGGAGCCTCTTGGGACCTCCTGGGACCTCCTAGGAAGGTTTCGTGCCCCAGGAGAGGCGCAATCTATAGCAACAGACGTACATAAAACATTGCGGATTAGAGCCACAGGAGAAGGGCAATCTATAGGAACACGCGTAAAACACCAAGGACTCGTGCCCCAGGAGAGGCCCAATACATAGGAACATGAGTAAAACATTTAGGATTGTGTACACAGGAGAAGGACCATCTATAGAAACATACGTAGAACATCAAAGAATCGTGCTCCAGGTGAGGCCCAATCGATAGGAGCATACGTAAAACACATGGGATTGGAGCCACTCCTGTTGCCTTCTGAGGCCTCCTGCTCCTGGGGCCTCTCGGGGCCTCCTGTTGCCTTCCGAGGCCTCCTGGCGCTTCCTGTTGCCTCCTGGGGCCTCCTGTGGTTTCCTGAGGCCTTCTGGAGCTTCCTGGGGCCTCCTGGAGCCTCTTGGGACATCCTGTGGCCTCTTGAGTCTTTCTGTGGCCTCCTGATGCCTCCTGGGACCTCATGTGGTCTCCTGGGGCCTCCTGGAGCCTGTTGGAGCCTCCTGTGGCATCCTGAGAAGAATCTGCGCCCACGAGCCTGGCCACCAAAACAAGCAAACCGATCGAGACATCCTCAAAATCTGGCCCACCTGGGGGGTGAAAATGAGCGCCTCGCTCGAGACATCCTCCAAATCTGCTCCGAAAGCGAAGGATGTTGGGCCCAGAAACAAGCAAACCGCCTGAGACATCCCCACAAAATGGCCGCGAACGAGCCCGTGCAACCACCCCTGGCGGCTCCCCTTAGGGGTGCTGAAACCAGCGCCCCGCCTGAGACATCCTCACAATCTGCTCTCCAAGCGAAGGATGTTGGGCCCAGAAACAAGCAAACCGCCTGAGACATCCCCACAAAATGGCCGCGAACGAGCCCGTGCAACCACCCCTGGCGGCTCCCCTTAGGGGTGCTGAAACCAGCGCCCCGCCTGAGACATCCTCACAATCTGCTCTCCAAGCGAAGGATGTTGAGCCCAGAAACAAGCAAACCGCCTGAGACATCCCCACAAAATGGCCGCGAACGAGCCCGTGCAACCACCCCTGGCGGCTCCCCTTAGGGGTGCTGAAACCAGCGCCCCGCTTGAGACATCCTCCAAATCTGATGTGTGTTGAGTAAGTCTGAGTATGAGTAGGTCTGAGTATGAGTATGCCTGAGTATGAGTAAGTCTGTGTATGAGTAAGTCTGTGTATGAGTAAGTCTGGGTATGAGTAGGTCTGTGTATGAGAAAGTCTGTGTATGTGTACGTCTGGGTATGAGTAAGTCTGAGTATGAGTAATACTGTGTATGAGTAAGTCTGGTATGAGTAAGTCTGTGTATGAGTACGTCTGGGTGTGAGTAAGTCTGTGTATGAGTAAGTCTGTGTATGAGTATGTCTGAGTGTGAGTAAGTCTGAGTCTGAGTAGGTCTGAGTATGAGTAAGTCTGAGTATGAGTAAGTCTGAGTATGAGGAGGGGAGGAGGAAAGAGGAGGAGGAGGAAGAGGCAGTAGGAGGCGTCCAAGTAATAACAAGAACCCCATCTTAGGATATGGGGAGTAAAAGTACTCAAATGCCCGAGCGACTGGGCTTCAAAATCTAGGGAGGCGGAGTCCAGCTGAGCACTGGAGGCGGAGTCCAGCTAGGCAGCTCGGCCTGCGCTCGACTGCGGCTCGGCCCCACATCCCTTCGGGGGGAACGAAAGGGGGGATAGCCCTCGCGTAGCTGACTTTCCCAGCGCCTCCCGGAGCCGGGAGGCGCCCATGTATCGAGGACTGGGCCCGGCGGCGGGGCCGAAACCAGCTGCATGCAGCAGATTTCGTACCCCCCCCTTTCCTTATCCCCCCCCTTTCGTTCGGCCCGATCCCTTCACTTCGCCTCACGTCGCGCTCCTCCACTCCTCGCATGGCGGAGCCGCCCGGAGCTGCAGTCGAACTTGCAAAATAGACCAGGGAGCCCACAAAAGACGTACGCGCCCAACCATGTACATGAACACGGCCCCTCGATCCGCGAGACCGTCCGCGTGATACGAGCATTCGCGCAATGCATACTCTCGAAACCAACGTGGATTCATGTACGCGTACGTCCTTCTTTCGCTCCTGGTAGGCAGCCGTCCCATTCGTCAAAGTGAGAGGCGAACTAATCGAATTGGGACCTGCGCCGTGCCACGAGCGAGCGCCACCACACGCACGCCGGTCAGATCACGACCGCTGCAAAATGCCACGGGGAGCCCACCGCCCCGAACACGAGGCCACACTTGCTGTCTTCCCGTGCACGTGAGATTGACCCTTGCGAGATCGGGAAAGCCACGGGATAACGAGAAGTTCCGCTGCGGAAGAGCCGCTGCGCCCAGGGGTGGTCTCGCCATCGCTCGGACGTCCGTCCCCTGTGCATTTTCCGATTCCGTGTGTATGCTTCCCAAGATGATCCAAGATGCTCCTCGCCGAGGAAAAGATGCACACGTCCGAGCGATGCCAAGTGATTGAAACATTTGAGAAACATGGTAAACTTGAAACAAACATAGACAGAGTTGGTGGGTGCAGACTGGTCTTGCAAGTAAGCCTGGCGCGGTCCCAATTAGGGGAAAGCTTCCTGTTGCATGGGCGCAGTGCTTGGCATTGCTTGGCCGTGCTTGGCATTGCTTGGCATTGCCTGGCATTGCTTGGCCTTGCTTGGCCTTGCTTGGCCTTGCTTGGCTTTGCTCGGCATTGCCCCGGGCAGCCCGAGGAACCCCCGAGCAACGGGAAACGTAACAATAGGAGGCACTGGGGGCGAGGAACCCGAGGAAACCCGAAGATCCCACGAGGAACGGGCAAAATAACCTTGGCAGGCGCCAACCTTAATTAACCAAATAAGAACCCCTTAGACAAGCCTATTTGGGGAAAAATGTGCCGAAAATCGCCACAAGCGCAGATTGGTGCAAAAGGTCCACAGGGGAGCCTCGCCTGGGTGGTAGTGGCTGACACCTACAGTAGCCGTATATCTACTGTAGCCACAGCTGCTGATGATATCTACTGTAGCTGAGCATCGGTCCTGCTGCAAGACTCTGCACGTTAGTTGGCCAAAGAACCTTCAACCACGTCGGCTAACGAGCTCGGCTCTGAAGGGCCCGGTGGCCGATGGCTTCTCAGAGTGGCAGCCCTGCTTCGGGCTCACTGACCTTCTTGCTCCGACTCATCATCCCTGCGCGGATCGAGGCACCAGAGGATCACCCCGCAGAGGCGGTTCCAGCCCACCGCGCGGTGCCTCTGGAGCTCCAGGCTCCACTTTTCCATCGTGCGCATGAATGACCGGAGCGCCTCCTCCGTGCTCTGCGGCAGCCCCAGGCCAGTGAGGTCGCCGCCCACCCCGACGACGGCGGCGGTCAGCAGGGCGCGATCCTGCCCGACGGCCCCGCCCGCGGAAGCGCGGGCACCCTGGCCCTCCACGGAGGCCCTGGCGAGCTCGGCTCTCGCGCGCCAAAACTCGCGCTGCACGGCCTGCAGTTCCTCCGTGCCGCATTGGGGAAGCAGCGGGGCCAGCAGCGGGGCCACCTCGGGCCAGCTCTCCAGGAAGCAGAGCCACGCGATCCGAGGCAGCACCAAGAACAGCTCTGGATCGCGCTCGTCGCAGATGGCGGCCAAGTCTTCCGAGACGGCTTGAGCCTTGCGCAGGCAGTCCACCAGGGCGCGCAGCGCGTAGCGCCCGCTCTCGTCGACCACGTAGGCGGCAGCCAGCTCCCAGCTGGATTCCCACGCAACCAGGAGCTCGATCAAGCCAGCGCGGAATTCCTGACCCGAGTTCCCAGTGTCCGCGCACCAGAGGATGTGGTCACACAGCTTGTCGAACGCTTCGATTGCGCAGCGGGCGAAAAAGGCAGGCTGGGTCCAAGACGGCCCCCTGTTGGTACGACTTCCCCGCCTGACCAGATTCAACGACCATCTTGGCCGCCATCAACACTTCGGCTCCGAAGGTGCGTCCCGTGCAGCCTGGATTGAGTGCCACGTTCAACTGCGATATGTAGTCGACGAGCTGTCGGCTGCAGTTGGACCCGTAGCCGCTCGCCGCCTCCTGCGCGCCGCCGCCCGTGCTGGCCCACCAGCCGCCGCCGCCGCCGCCGCCGCCGCCGTTCCGCGCCGCGGCGACGGTGCTTCGGAAGCCGCGCACGAGGTAGGCACTGGGCACATCTCTCAGGACCTGCATGTCGTAGAACTTCAGCTCCGCGAAGAACCTCTCCTCGAAAGCGGCCCAAGCGTGGTCCAGGGCGCCCAGGGCCTTGCGCAGGCTCGCCTGCTGAGGCGCCTCCCAGGTCTCAGCCGGCAACTTGCGCAGCTGCTTCAGCAACCAGAAGACGTCGGCCCAGCAGCGCCGCAGCCTTCCAGACAAGCGAGCACAGTGCTGGCTCAGCTGGAATGTCTGCCCATTGACCACGACCTCGTTGTGGCCCTCGGAGATGCCGGGGCACAGGAAGCTGCTGGCGAGCACCTGCAGGCTGTACAGGCACCCCGGCTGCGTCCAGCGCGCCCGGTGGCGCTCCGTGAGGCCGGCGCAGTAGTCCCTCGGCGCGAGCGCCACCCCCAGCTCGCGGCTGGCCAGGTCCAGGCTGCGCAGGAGGCAGCTCATCGCCACTCTGCCCGACGCCGAATCCGTGTCGGGGCTGCCGTCTTCGGAAGAAGAGCAAGCGCCATAGACATGATCCTGTGGCGCTCCGCGCGGATTTCTTGGATCTGCGCTGGACCTCCCTCCCTGGCGCGCGCCAAGCGCGCCGAGGGCGGCGCCGGAGGCGCCGCCGGGGGGGGGGGGGCCCAGCGCGGATCCAAGAAATCCGCGCGGAGCGCCAAGAGCTTATGCTCGTGGCGTTTCTCCTTCTTCGAGCCTTGCGACAGCGGCAGCCGCCGCACCATCTGCGCCAGGCCGCTGGCCGCGGCCAGCTCCTGCGGGCGCCAGGGCCCCGTCCCGCTCTCCGGGGCGGCGCCCGCCGGGCTGCGTCCGCGCCCCTCGGCCGGTGCCGCCATCGTGCTCTGGGGGCCGTGGCTCATCGGACGAGGCTATACTTAGGTCTGGCATGTCCTCCTGCAGGCGGATTTTTGAGGAAACATTTTAGAAATCGCCCCCAGACTATTTTTTGGACCACGTTTCAATTTTTCCTCCTGTAGAGGGGCGTGCCCGACTTGAGGCTATCACGCGCTTGGGTGCAAGACGAAGCGGCCTCGGAGCACGCAGGGCAAGAGCTTTCAGTGAGAATTGCTTGAGTCAAAGTGGCTACGGAGGATCGGCGCGGGGTTTGCTGAGGGTTCCAGGCTCAAGGTTTTCGGGAGTCTTCGAGCTTCGAGGTTTTCGGGTGCTTTCGTCGGATCTCGGCGGTTTTCCAGCCTCGGGATGCTCTCAAGCAGCTGCGCCTCGCCGAGGGCGTTCCGGGGGTGCCAGGATCGTCCCGAATGGCCGCCAGAGGCCTGTGTTATGGCCTCCACATCTCGGACGATTTTTTTTTTTTTGTTTTTCAACCCAGGCGTCTTTAGGGGAAAGAAGAATGACATAAACATTAACATTTGCCAGGGGGGTCCAACGCCGATCCGAGAAATCCGCGCGGACCTCCGAGATTTTATGTTTATGTCATTCTTCGTGGTGTTTCCTCGATTTCGGCCTCTGGGGTCCGTTCTCGGGCTCCGGCTCGCGTCTGGAAGCCGCCTCCTTATGCGCCGCGTGGGCGGCCTCCTCGTGCGGTCGTGCGCCCGGGGTTGGCGTCGGCTGCGTCGGACGTCGGCTGCCCTCGACCTCCACGTGAGTGAACAACAACGCGCCGGGGCTGAACAGAAGTCCGATCGCGCCAGGAGGATGAGAAGGAGGAGGAGAAGGAGGAGGAGGAGGAGGCACAAGGACGGTGAAGACTCCACTTGGATCGGGCAGCGCGGCCCCGACCAGCAGACCGACAGCAATGGACAGGAGCTATACGAAACAGCGGCCAACGGGAACCTCCATATCGTCAACACGTTCTTCGGGGAGGCGGACGATTTCACGTACCACAAGGACGGGGTCGCCAACCGCATCGACAACGTGGCAATGGCCCCAAGCTTATTTCGCTGTGTGACCGCATGCAGTATACAAGCCGAACATCAAGCAACACACGAAAGTCAGGGCTTACAAAACAACGAACAGAGAGCAGCACAACACCGACCACCTGCCAGTCCTCGTGGAGATCGAGGGTCAGATAAAAGGTCGGCATCGAAACTTGAAAGGCAACACACAGCTCGACAGCAACAATATGAAGGACGCCGACAATATCAACGCCTTCCAGCAGGACCTCAACAAGGCATATTTACCACATTGGAACCTGGACGTGAACGACCACTACCACGAGACTTCGGAGCTCATCGCCGACAGGACCACGAAACACTTCGGGAGGGGACCACTCACGCCATGCAACGCCACCATCACGGAGGCAAGTATGTGTCTTCTGAGACTGCGCAGGTACGCCGAGAGCTCTACACGTACCTATGCTAAAGAAGGCGGCCAAGCACCATTGGAAGTTTTCAGAAAGAAGATGTGTCACGAGGCCCTGCTGTACGCGCACCCCGAGGACAACTGGTACTACGCGGCGGGGGTGCTGGCGAAAGCTTGCGAGCTGAGCACGAATGCGGACTGCCTGGGCATAGCGCACGACGCAGCCAGGGCATTCATTTCCATCATCAAAGACATGTTCAAGCACCAACTGAGCAGCGACCGCAATAAGTATTTCACCAATCTAGCCGCCAAGCTGGCCGACAGTCGAAGTGCGAAGGACGCCAGGACATAATGGCAAACCGCGAAGGGGATCCTGGTACACGGTGGGAGGAAGCCGAAGCACGAGAATGCCCTGCCCACTTACAAGTACCCCGACGGCCCAGTCATGGCCACGCAGTGCGAGGTCCGCAGGGCCACCCTCAATCACTTCGCGAGCATCGGGTGCGCGGACATCACAAATAAATACGACCTCACAAATATTTGGACGCCCGAAATGGGTACGGAAAAAATGGGTACAATGCCCAACACCAAATGTTGTCCCAGAACGGCAACGGCCGCTGTTGGGCAGGCGGCCTTCTGCCTCAAATGGACACGGGCCGCGGCGGCGCGGACAGCGAGTCCGGTTCAAAACGAGCAGGAACTGCTGTTGGGCATCGTACAGTCGAGGCGTTGACCTAAGGAGGCCTTAATAAGGAGCGGGGCCCCTCTTTTCCAGAAGCTGAACTTCGATTCCCCATCGAAGACCTCAGGAAAACCCGAAGCAAGCTGTGCAACACTCGAGGAACACGGCGCCCCTCCTCAGCGAAAAGGGTTCCTTCTTCAGCGCCCCGTTCTCCTCCTCTCCTCCTCCTCTCCTCCTCCCCTCCTCCTCCTCCTCATCCTCCTCCCCCCCCCTCCTCCTCCTCCTCCCCTCCGCGCGAGGAGGAGATACATGCAGCCGCAGCCACGCCGGCAGAAGGCCACCAGACGAGGCGTCGCACCGCCTCCTCATGCCGCTCAACGCGCGCCAGCGGACAGCCTCGCGGACAGCGAGGAGGGCAGGGCAGGAGGCCCCGACGGCAGCCGACCTCCTCCTCTCCTCCTCCTCCTCCTTCCTCCTCCCTCCTCCTCCCTCCTCCTCCTCCCCCCCTCCTCCCCCTCCCCCCCCCCCCTCCTCCTTCTCCTTCTCCTCCTCCTCCTCCTCCTCCTCCTCCTCCTCCTCCTCCTCCTCCCTCAAGCTAGCGCCTGAAGAGACGGCGAGGCACTGGCACCCAGTCATCATGAAGGCGGTCATGCGTGGCAGGGAGCCTATTCAACTCAAGGCGGGCATCGCGGTGAAGCTGTGCAAGGGCAGCGGCACTAGATCGTAATTCGAGTTCTGCTGCCGGTCGATCCTGCTCAACAGCGCCGTGGCCAAGCACTACCACAAGTGGCTTAGAGCCATCACGCTGCAGGTCTGGGGCAGCTTGCTACGAACCTCGCAGTGCGGCGGCATCCCGAAGAAGTCAGGCGCCTACTCGACTCACACCATCAAGTCCTTCTTCAGGATCTGCAAGCGCAAGGGCCTCACCGCCGTAGCCATTCTGCTGGATCTACGACAGGCCTTCTACTCCGTCATCCGCGAGTTCGTACTAGGAAAGGGAGGCGAGAAGCCCGAGCCCAGCCGAATCATCGCAAGATGTCACCCTCCTGAGTGGCTCACGCCGGCAATCCAGCACCTGGTCAACTCGCCAGGGTACATGGCCTTGCACGATGTCGACGAGAACCTGCGCTACCAGCTGGAGGAAGCCAACGAAACGACGTTCTTCCAGGTGAGGGGCGACGAGCTATGCGCGCAGAGCCTGGAGGGTACTAGGCCAAGGAACGGGCTGGCGGACCTCATCCTCAACATTAGCTTCGCCCAAGCGCTGGGCCCGCTTGACATGGAACTGCAAGAAGGAAAGCATGCCCTGGACCTCCAACCGCTTGGACAACAAGCCATCCTGACCAGAGGACCGCTCAAAGATACTGAAGGTTCGCTGCCAGAAATATCCTTCATGGACGACGCCACCTTCTTCTGCGTGCTGCGCGACAATGCGCGCGTAGAGAGCGACATCTTCAGCGTACTGTCCATCATCAAGAAACGGCTAAAGATCCGCCGGCCCCCTTGGGGGCCACCAGGCTGCCAGGATAAGGTTGCTGTTCCCTGCACCCGTTCCAGGTTCCAGTTTCCAATGTTACAGTGTTGCTTGCTGCTTCCTACTGTAAATTGTTACTGTCCGCGCGAGGGGGGGAGCCGAAAAGGGCTCTGGTTAGCGTCCCCCGGGAGGGTTCTCAGAATTCCTGGGGGGGCGTGCGACACGTAGAAATACAAGAGATTCGTGCCCCCGAGGCTATAATCCCTTGCAAATTACACTGTAATCGCGCCCCCGAGGCCCCGATCCCTCGTAAATTATACAATGTTCGCGTCTCCGAGGCCACGACCCCTCGTAATTTACTTCACATTCGCGCCTCCGAGGCGACGATCCCTGGTAAATTACGCCACGTTCGCGCACTCGATGCCACGATCCCGCATTTATTACGCCACCTTCGCGACCTCGAGACCACGATCACCCGTAAATTACGCAACATTCGCGCCCCCGAGGCCACGACCCCCTTGTAAATTATCGTACAGTCGCGCCCCCGAGGCAACGATCCCTTTTTAATTTACGCAACATTCGCGCGTCCGAGGCCACGACCCCTCGTAAGTTGCGCTGCGTTCGCGCCCTCGAGTCCACGACCCCTTCGTAAATTACACCGCGTTCGCGACTCCGAAGCAATTACGTCACCTTCGCGCCGCCGAGGCCACGATCTCTCGTAAATTACGCCGAATCCGCGACACCGAGGCCACGATCCCTTGTAGATTACACCTCATTCGCGCCTCCGAGGCCACGACCCTTCGTACATTACACCTCATTCGCGCCCCCGGGGCCACGATCCCTCCTAAATTACAACGCAATCGCGCCCCCGAGGCAACGATCCCTTGTAAATTACACCACATTCGCGCCCCCGAAGTCGCGATCCCTTGTAGATTACTCCACATTCGCGCTCCCGAGGCAACGATCACTTGTAAATTACACCACAGTCGTGCCCCCGAGGCAACGATCACTTGTAAATTACACCACATTCGCGCCCCCGAAGTCACGACCCTTTGTAAATTACGCCACAGTCGCGCCCCCGAGGCTACGAATCCACTTCGCGGAGACTGCCCACCCCCCGCCTCAGCAGAGCAGAAAAACAATAGTGTCTGTATTGGGATATGCGTTCGGGGTGCGCTTTTTGGAGCCCCCCGCCGTCTCTTGAAAATCTGGCTGTGGGCCCGAATGCTCCAAGGCCACGATGCTTCGTAAATTACATGCATTCGCGCCCCCGAGGCCATGAACCCTCGTAACTTACGTCATGCTTACGCCCCGAAGCCACGACCCCATGTAAATAACGCACATTCGCGCCTGAGAAGGCCACGATCCCGCGTAAATTACGCAACATTCGCGCTCCCGAGGCCACGATCCCATTGCACAAAATCCCTCCCGAAGCTACGGACACGCCCCGCGGAGGCTGCCCCCAAGCGCTCCCTTCTCTCCAGAGCAAGAAAAACGTAAGTTTGTGCGAGTTTGTGTAATGGGACATGTGTTCGGGGTGCGTTTTTCGGCTCCCCCGCTGTCTCCTGAAGTCTGCGCTGTACCCGCAGCCGCAAGTCTTCGAAAATACCTCCACGCGCCACTATATCCCTAGATGACATCATGCAACCCCAGTTGTTCCAAGAGGG